TCTTCAAGTGATATATATACATATATATAGTAAAAAATATCGTAGAGAGGATAAACTATAGATCGACACTATTAAGATTGTAGAGTTTGTTACAAAAATTATTCTAGGCTAAAACCGATGAAATTTAACCGCTTAATTGTCTAATAAAATTCTCAAAACTTATCTTTCTCTCTTCTACTCTCTGGGTAGTCTATAATTTTTTTTTAATAAATCAGATTTAGGTTCAATGCCCAAATCAATCGGCCCAAGCCCACCTATGGGCTCAATGACCAAAAAAAAATTAACCATCTAAAATTTTAAAAAATAACTTTATATGTTAACACAACGATCATGAATAAAAATAAGAAGCTGCGTGAATCTAGAATGCATGGCTGCTATGAAACAAGAACTACGCAATAATCTTTATTCTTTAAGAATGGTTTGAATGACGAGTGTTCTTGAAACACAGTGTGCATGAAGCTACCCAGTAGTTCCCTTCCTTCGGAATTTTGCGTCGTCAATCTCATCTTATGCAGACCGAAGATGGGAGGTCGTTCTTTTCGTTCGTGCCACGCCAAAGACTAATCTTCGCAAACCAAAAAGGTCCACAGAAGCGCAGTTCATTAGAAAAGTCTTGGCAGCCACATAACTTCTAGAATGATTGACTTCAGAACCCGCGGTGTTCGTCAAACACACAAATTTTCTTTTCTCGATCAATTTTCTGCTGTTATTATCCGACTGGCTATGCTTGTGGTGGTTGGCTAATGGACGACCAAAAGATCTAGTGGTCCATTTGGTAAACATGTTAACGTATGCCTGACATATTTCTTCGTGCATGGACCCACTCCAACATCGACGTTTTGAAGTCAATGTCTTCACTACCAATTGTCTACATTGTCATGGACATTAACAACGAAGTTGCCTGCGTCGTATGGTGGTAGTGAGGAGGATAGGAAAAGTCTTACGTACCAGTCTTCCACCTATTGTTTTCTCACTGATATGTCTCACTAATGGTTGCAGACAAGAACGGTAACTGCTACTATTACTCCGAAGTGCACTTCATACATCCACCTATGGTTTCATATCTTATTACACCGAGAAGAGGTAACGACTACTGTTCGGCTAATTAGGTATCCATTAATATTACATTACCAACCTATGAGAGGATAGAGTATGACGGAAGCTAATCCTAAACAGGGACCGTCCTGTTGTAAACAGCGGCGGAGTCTATCTGGTCCTCGTCTTCGTTCTCGCCAGAGATTTCCTCGAGTGACTTGCCCTTCGATTCAGGCACTAAGAAGGTAAAGATCAGGCCCAGAAGATTGGACGCCGCAAGCACGAAGAGCGCGTTTCGGACGCCGATGCCGGCCGGGTAGCCCTTGTCCCTCTTCGCGGGGTCCTTGCTCTGAGCCGCGTAGAGAAACCCGAAGGCGCCCACGATGGCCCCGGCCTTGCCCGCGGCCGCCGAGATGCCGTGGCAGGTGGACCGCAGCCGTGCGGGGAAGATCTCCGCCGGGACGATGAAAGTGGTGCTGTTGGGCCCGAAGTTGGCGAAGAAGAAGGTTAAGCCGTACATGATGACGAAGCCGATGTGGTTGCCCTTGGTCGTCCAGTGGTGGTAGGGGATGGCAAGGCCGAGCATGAAGACGGTCATGAAGAAGAAACCCATGAGCTGGATGGCGAACCGGCCCATGGTGTCGATTAAGGCCACGGTGAACCAGTATCCTGGCACGGTGCCGCAGAGGGCGATGAGGGTCTGCGCCCGAGCGATCCGGAACACCTCTTCGATAGCGTTCATGGTTTTCGCGTCCGGTAACCACCCGATGGAGGTGAAGATGTCCTTCTGGAACAGGTTCTGGCTGTAGAAGGCGATGTCGAGGAGGAACCACGTGGTGGTGGTGCCGACGAGGTGGATGCCGTGGCGGCGGGCGAACTCTCTGGAGAAGAGGCCGAAGTTGTTGGCCTCCTTCATGGTCATCTGCTCGACCTTCTCTTGCTCCTCGGCGATATCCACCTGGAGTACCTTCGACATGTCGGAGGCCGCCTGTTTCGCGTTCTTGGCAACAAGAGCAGTGTACCGCGCGGTCTCCGGCATCTTCATCCGCCAGTAGTAGGTCAAGGCAGCCGGGAGGGCGCCCAGCATGAGAATTGTGCGCCAGATGTAGTCGGCCTCCGGGACGGTGGAGCCGGCTGGGTCGTCCTTGTAGGCCGGCGAGTCGAAGCGTCCCTTGAAGGCGGCGGAGATGATGATGGCGACGATGCCGCCTGTGAGGATGCCGAAGCCCTGCATAGCGAAGACGGCTGCGATGAAGGCGCCACGGGTCTTCTTGTTGGCGTACTCCGACATGATGGTGGCGGAGAGCGGGTAATCGCCGCCGATGCCAAAGCCGAGCCAGAAGCGGAAGAAGCAGAGGGTGGCCACGACACCCTTGGCAGTGTGACCGAAGGAGAGTCCGGACGCGATGGAGCAGATGACCATGAGCATGAGCGTCATGCCATACACCTTCTTGCGGCCGAGCTTGTCGCCGAGCCACCCGAAGAAGAGCTGGCCAGAGAGGGTACCACAGAAAGCCACGCCGGTGACGGCAGCGGACACGTTGGGCGGGAGCGTCCCTGGCGATGTCGAGTTGGGGTCGAAGTAATAGATGCGGCCTAGGAGCTTCGTGACGAGGGAGATGCAGAAGAGATCGTAGGCGTCGGTGAAGAAGCCCATGCCAGCAATGACGATGGCCGTGAAGTGATACAACTGCGTCTTGGCAAGGTCGAGTGCCCCGAGCACTTGGAGCTGACCTCTGGCCATTGTTGCAGCACACTTCCCCTTGCTTGTGCAACTGCAAGTAGAACAAAGCAATCGTTAAGGCTACACAGCTACTTACTGCTACAACGCAGATGTAGATGACGTTGTCGTACCTGCTCTGTAAGAAGAGGAAGGAGGAGAAGAGGGAGACCAGATCTTGTTGGTCACAGGAAGGAGAAGCCGAGCAGGGAGGTCTAGAAGAGAAGGCGAGGTAGTCTCTGAGAACAGCGGGAACGGCGAGAGGTGTGTGTGTCTGTCTGTCTGTTAATAAGCAGTGCTTCACACGGTCAAGTCAACTCTGCCAACCCGAGCAGGTGGGTCCATGGAGTGGGGACAGCCCCTCCGCATCCATTCCCACCTGCTTTGCCCCCATCTCTCTCTCAAAACAAACAAATGTGACCTAAATCATGCACATTAACTTCTTCCACCCCGACGCGTCTTTGCTGAAAACACACACAACCCATATCATGTAGTCAACACCAAGTTATGGACGTACGTCTTACAGTTATTTTTTATGGTGATACATTGAAATGGTTGTGATATCTTACGTCAATCGCTTCCTCTTTCCTCTCGCCGAAAGAAAATATGCAAACAATGTGATTTGGATGAGACGTGTCGCTCGAGTGGAATGCAAAAGGGACTCTTGAAAGCATAAAATCATTATTATTTGACATGCTTTTTGATCACTCGTAGCAATTCACATGCATAATATTTTTATTCTTTTTGCTCTTCATTTTAATTTATTCTCCACGATTGCAGCTCATACGTCGGAAACAGTGTTTTGGTGTCCCAAGACTTGTATTTTTTTATCGTTGTCTGGTCTTGATGTCATTTTCTCACTCGTCTGATTTTGACTCCGCGGTCTTCCCTGGCAGCCGCGTGGGGCCGACCAGCAGATGATACCAAAAGTTTGGTCCCCAGGCTATTTCTCATCCTACGTGGCAAAATCACGATCCTTAATTTGTATGGTCGAAGCAGATGACCGCCGCGCAGGGCGAAGAAGTTGATGGGCCATTACAAGACGACATAGGTGGGCCCATTTCACAATCCGAGAGTACCCACCCGTTTGCATTCAACACTCTTTCGAGAAGGCTATGTAAAGTCAAGCATTGTTCTTCGAGTTCACAAGTAGCTACGTTCCATGTAGGAATCCTACTGCTGAATTGTCGCTACTTGACAGAATCCGGTTCTTCATTTGTTGGGCTGGAAACTTGTTATCATCCTATCGTCAATTAGTTTTGTATCTCTTCCTACGCCTTCCATACACAGCGCTGATCCCTAACACAAACTGTCTTCCTCAGCATTTTGCCAACTAAGATGCTGACTCAGCCTTACAGAATCAACCACATCATACAAGTGGAAATCCAACTCGCTCGTTTGTTACCCCACTTGTTCTAGGTTTGGCATAGCATGATTTAGTCTTGATTTCAAATATATTGATCATATATTATATTATAAAAATTGAATTACTTTTTTACACAGTTTCGTATGTCTACAATATTATGTTATATTTTACTTCGTACTAGTCATTGTTTTTGAGCTATTATAGGTTGAGCCTTTAGATAGGCCTTCCTTCATTCTTTTCGCTTCTTTTCTTTTACTTCAAAGTGAAAGGGTTTAAATCAATTTTTTTCTTTCTTTTTATTTTAAAGAAGGGTTGACGTGGTAGCACCATGTCACGTGCAAAACACATGTCCCGGCTCTGTTATGTAACTTCCGGATTCGAAAGCCTCGCGCACCGCCAAAGTATTTGGGAGCAAAGCCCAAAAGTTCCCATTCTTCCTCCTCTTCCTTTCTCCCATGGCTTCAGATTTGGGTTAGGGTTCCTCGATCTGAGGATTTTGTGCCGTGTAGAGTCCTTCATCCGACGCGATCGTCTTTTGGATTGTTCTTTGGAGATTTGGCTTGGTAGGGTTCATCCTCTCCTTTCTTTCCCCTTTTCATTTGTTTAGTTCTTGAAAGTCTTATGTATCCTTCGTCGAAAAAGCTACTCGATCGTTTTTACAGCACTATGATGTGTTCTTGCAGTTTGATTATGTATATTTGTCTCTGATTCAGAAAAAATATAGTCGAGTAATCTCCCGATGGATTTGTTACACGGAAGGAGGGAGAGGCATTTTGTGTTGCAATGTTAGAAAGGGTAATATACTGGATTTTCTATTATATTTATTATAGTGTATAGGGCTTATTTTCTGTAGACAGTCAAGGAATTATAGAAGGGTTCTACTTTGTTCTCCCAAATGGATGATTATCGACATAGCATTTACCGTTCAGATAGCTGTATAGTAGAGCATCTTGGTTGATCTCCACGGATTGGTAAGTTCGATCCCCCGTTTGTGTCGTGTGTGCATGATTTATCACCTAGTCCAGCTAGAATGGCACATCATTTAAGAGCAAGTGCACTTAGATATAGATACAAAGGAATAAAGAGTCATTAATTTCTGTGGAATTTCCTATTCACTCGTGCCTGAGTTTTGCTGCAAGTCTTAGATATTTTTTTTCTCCCTATGCTCAGATAGATCTTACTAGCATGCCATGTTATTTGATATACGAAAAATTGTGGGATGTTGCCGGTGCAAACGCAGTTGTTAGGAGTTAAGTAAGGATTTCTAACTGTGAATTATCTAGGAACATTGAAAAATGTTTATTTAATTTTGTGCTTAGTCCTTAAAATCCTCAATAAATATACTAGAGAAAATTCAGGAAATTACTTTGTTAGTGTTGGTGAAATGATGTGGTGAATCGTTCTTATCAAAGAAACTAACAACCTATCTTGCTTGATTTCTCTGTGAATAGCTTTTAGTGCATAAGTGATATGTTTATATTCAAGAAAATGATGAGAATTGAGCTCAGATGAATTTAATGCTTTGATTTGCAAATTCTAGAGGAGTTACCTTCTTTTCTAATTTTGTGGAGGTTCAAATATGAATTTGCACTGGAATCAAGGTTGATAGTAGTATGACTAAGCAAACTTATGCTATACCAAATGTTATTGTCACAGTCAATATTTCTTCCAATCTTTTAGATGATGCTGTTATAGCTCACAGCATACTTGAGTTTGAACAATCTTCTGACAAACCATCATGTGACGTAACCATTTACATCCGAGATCCGCTAAATTATAACGAATGAAAATGGGGCCTTTGGGAAGAGCCTTAGAGATGAAGTCAAAGGAGTCAATATCATGGATTACCTACTCTTGTTTTCACCTCAATGGCAGCTAACTATGTCAGCTAGCAAAAGAGTAACATGCTTGTCATAATTATTGAGCCCGAGGTTTCTTGTATATGAAGTTTTTTAAGAAGCTTAACAAACTTATAATAGAAAATTTATGTTTGGTGATTCATGTTTCTCTTAACTCTATGTTTTACTTTGGGATGTATTTGAAGGACAAAATATCTGATTCCATAAATGACTCTAGTATTTAATTATTTGTTGGTTATTTAGGGGAAATTATGGATTTGGACTATCACTTACATGATATATCTTTCTGGTGTATGTTATTTGCTAATGATATTTTCTTAGTTGATGAGAGCCTAAGTGGAATTAGTTATAAACTTGAGTTATAGAGACAAGTCTTGGAAACTAAAAGTTTTAGATTAAGTAGGACTAATACTGAATATATAAAATATAATTTTAGTGGTTAGAGAAATAGGTAAGAGAATATAATTAACTTGGATGAAAAATAAGTCTCTCTAGGTAAATATTTTAAGTATCTTGGATAAATTATTCAATAAGATGAAAAGATCGATGAGGATATTTTTCATAAAGTAAAAATAGTATGATTAAAATGACAAGAGGTATCAAGAGTCATATATAATCATCGAATACCTTTGAGATTAGATGAAAATTTTATAAGATAGTTGTGAGATCAATAATATTTTACGGATTTGAGTGTTGGGTAATTAAGAAAAAACATATACAAAAAGTTTATGTTGTCGTGATGAAAATGTTGAAATGAATATGTGAAGTTACTATGAAAGATAGAAAATAAATGTTTTTATTTGTGAATAACTAGATATCATTTCGATAAAGGATAAGATGAGAGAAAATTGTTTAAGATGGTATAGATATGTGATGAAGAGACCTTCCAATATCATAGTCAAAAGAGATAAATTAATTAATATTAGTGGTATGATGAGAGACAAAATAAAAAATAAATTTTTTTAATAAAAATTATAAATAAAAATTTAAGTATTCTGAACTTAATTAAACATACGACTTTCTATAAATCTCAATAGAGGCAAAAGATTCATATAGTCAATCTTAAATAGTTAGGACTTATGATTTTATTATATATTTTGTTGTTGTAAATTTGAACTATCAATTACATTGACTGAAAATATAGTTCAGTCTTTAGGAAAAACTACTTATTTTCAAAGCAAATAGAACTTTTTATCTGAAAAACATATGGTAGATTGTGGTAGAAGAGATCCTCTGTACGAACGAGAGAGGACAGAGAAACCCGTAAATGTAAAACTTGCAGACTTGTAAATTGCCCTAGTGGTGTGTGCTGTGACCATGGTTCCACTGTTTTATTCTGTTTTAATTGTCTCATACTGTCGTAAAATTATCTTAATTTTACTTTTTCTAACCCGAAGGATTAGTATGAAAAAATAGTTGCCGACTACTAATTACTTTTCAACCTTCTCGTCAATGATGTCGATGGCCAAAATCTGACATTACATCAAACTGATTGTTTTGAATGCTAGGGTGATTACGGAGACAGAATTGTTATTTCAATTTCAACTCTTATCTACCACTGCCAGGTTGGGACTAATGTTTGTCTCCTCTTTTATCTTGAAGAAGTAAAAGGACTCTTGAGTTGAATCATTATGAAGATTGTTTTGAATGCTAGAGTGTTCAACTTCGGTCATTTTTGAGGTAAAGAATCACTCTTTTCGATAAGTCTCATATAAAGCAAATTAAAAGAAAAAAAAACTCTTACCTATCCACCAAGAATGCCTGCAATCTAGTAATAAACCCTTAAATGCGCAGGTGTAACTTGGACCATCGTTCAAGACAAAAGCAGTATACCTAATCTTCAGATATGCAAGTTCTGATGCAATTGGTAACTTCGAGTTACCTAGACTCCGTTCCTGACTCCCAATCAGGTACGGTGATTTCCACTGTCTAATGGTTATATGATTTGATTATTTCCTGCTCGATGCTTTCTACTATCTTTCATTATTAATTATTCCAAATAGTTGCTTATTAGCCTGTTACGATATGATGCTATTTCTGTAGAAAACATTCTCTGGTAGATGATTCTTTAAGTTCCTTCTACTTATCATCTTGTTATCAATTGAAACCGCAAACAATCAATTTATAGTTAAATCACTATGAATGGCGTAGAAACGATACTTCTAAAACTGTTAGAGTATACATAATTTTGTTCTTCTTTTTCAGTCATTATAAGAAAAATCGTCGGTGCAAGATTATATTTTCTTTTATTTAGTTAGTGCAACCAGTAGTTTTTTTTAGGGGACCTTTTCATACTATGGTTAGGTTTTAGTTACATTTCATGCATAGTTTATTGAAATTATTGTTTGGGTTGTGTCCTACTTATAATTGATTCATGTGGTACTACTTTAACAAAATGGAGGCACACAGCCATGCTGCTTGTCTAACATGCACCAACACACTCGATACTTTGTGTTGTCCTTGATTAGGTACAATCTAACTGGTGTCGGGTCTATTACGACTCGAGCAGTCACGTCTTTGTAGGCTTGCTCTTATTAAGCTCAATTAAGGTCGCAGCTTAAAGAGGATCTTGTTATTTAAGTTGATTGAATTCCCGGTGAAGTCTTTCACTGACTTAGACACAGAGAACCATAATTGCGTGTCCTATTATATCAGGCCGGCCTATCAGTAATTACATAATCCGATATTTTTGGAATGATCAATTAATCTGGTTAGCATTTTCTCAATAGAAATGGTTGGAATTTGAGCCAAATACTTAGAAAGTAGTTGGGCCGTGCAAAAACGATCAAGAATACATGCTTAAGCACAAAAATATGATAATTTAATGAAATTGAAATAATTAAGAAGTAAACGTATATTATGGTCAATAAATTATAAGAGTAGTTTAGATTCGTATCGTTGCAGTTGCAGTTCATGGACCACGCATAATAATTCTAAAAAGTTTTTTTAGGACTCAATCATGATCAATTTATAATTCGACAGTAAGTCCAAATCCGTGACCAATTAAATAACTACTGAATTTAGTCACTTTCAAGATCCATCAGAAGAAATCCTTTACCCTATAGAAAAGAAGATGCTATTTTTTGAAAGCTACGGACTTACCGTCGCGGGAGCCGCATTGATGTTATTATGGACTCTTACCTTGTCCTTCCCCATAAAGGAAAAAAAAATTCACTTGTTCGTCTGAGACAATACATGGCTTGCTGCCTTAATCCTGCAATACGAACGACGGACGGTAGTTGCAGTGTCGCCGGCCCTTGAAGCCACCGTAGATGACCTTCTCAGGCATGCCGCTTGCATGATTAGAGATTCAACAAGCTACTGACGAAGTAAGAGAGAAAGCCATCCATCTCGTGCTTCGGCAGTGCCAGTCCCACCTCGATGCCGCCCTTCTCCCCTCTGCTCTCCGTCAGCGACAGTGCCCCCGTCCTCTCAATCGACACCAGCTCTACCTTGCGCGGCCGTCCCCACCCGAAGTCGACGTCGTATATCCCCAGCTTCGGCGACCCGGCGACAGTCAGGGCTTTCTTTGCCGCGTAGTCGTGGACGTCCCTGATCCAGTTCTCCGCCCCGCTGAACGCCCCCTCCTCCAGGCTCTTGATCACCTTCCAGATCGCGTCCGCGGCGGCCGCCGCTCCGTCTTCGCCGACGAGTTCGCTCCTCTCGGCCTCGACGCGGCAGATACCTAGGCAATTCCCAAAGTAATTGGCTGGAATGGGCGGATTCGTCCGAGCCCGGCAGCCGGTCACGAAGCCGAAATGCTCCTTCTTCCTGTTCGTGTCGCCTCGCGCTCGGACCAGGCCGGCCCACACGAGGCCGCAGGCCAACGCGTACGGCGACGTCTGGGCCGACGCCTTCCTCTTGCACGTCGCCCGTCGTCTCAGCTTATCGAGGGTGTCTCGGCTGAAAGCGAAAGTGGCCAGCTTCACATCAGGGACGCCGGTGAGGTCCCAGGCATTGAGACTTGGATCTCCTCTGAGCGATTGCAGATCCTTTACGAAGATGCTTTGCAGCCCTGCTGGGTCGTGGACGACGCTACGGTCGAGAAACGGGAGCAGCCCTGTCGAATTCGCCGGAAGCTCCCCAAGCCGATGTATCGACGACCACAGTTTCATGAAGTTGGTGTAGCTAGAGCCATCGGCGACGGCGTGGTGAACGGTGGTCCCGATGGCGACGCCGGCGTCAGCGAACATGGTGACTTGGACTGCAAACACGGGCTGCCTTCCGCTGGAGGCGGTCAGCGGTGGCACCAGAGGATGGAACCTCGCCATGTCCCGCGCATGGTCTCCTGAGAGCTCGTAGAAGTCGTCTCGACTGACGGCTACCGTGAGGGGAACGAAGTCAGATTGAGAGCAAAGGAGCTCGGGATTTTGCACCTCGGAGTCTCGTGTAAGGCTCCCGGCGAGAGGGTAGTAGTAACTGAGGGCGAGAGCTAAGGAGTGCTTCAGTTTAGGGAGCTCGGTCTCGAGGTTGGTCGACTCGTAGAAGAGGAGGCGTTGCACCGGGTGGAAGCAATAGAAGACGAGGTCGAAGAAGGTCGAGGGAAGGGAGCACGGCAGGGTGGCCGAGCTCGGATGAGATGAAACCCGCCACTGCTCCAACACCTTAAGCTTATGGTGGGATGGTGCCATGCTCAACTCTACCTGGCGCAGGCTGCAATAGTATATCTGATATAATATGTGGGCGTAGGTGGTAGGTAACTGGCTTCCATCTTGGAAGGGGATAGGTGGGTCGTGATTCATTTATTGAAGGGAATAACCAACTGCGATCGCATCATCATAAGAGAGACATGAGAATAGCGTGAAGTTTGTGCAAGAGATCAACAAATATTTTTTAATTTACAAATAAAACTTTTTTATTTATTAAAGATAAATAACATTCTTCTTGAAATGAAAACAAATATCAATGTGTTTGAATCTTCCTTAGAATCCAACGAACTCCCATTTAGGAGACACCAGGAAGGTTTCCCTTAGAAATTTCCAAGCCTTGGATCCCAGTTGAAATGTAGTACAGAACCTTTTAGTCTACTTTGTTACTATCAAAGGACCAAAAGAGTCTCTTGTTGCAGGGAACTTCACCGAGGTTCGTTCTCATATGATTTGTATGGCTCACGGTGAATGAACTTTACACAGGCAAGTATCAGTGTTATACTTGATAAGCAGTCCTTCCCCTGTGGTCTTCCAAGTATGTCTATGTTATACTTGATATTCTACTTCCAGGTAATTGCTCTCCGAACCATGCTGTCTCTCTTTGTGTTGTCAATCCTTGATTCCTCGAGGCGTACAGGAGTGTCTTGTAGTTCTCAATCCTTGATTCCTCAAGGCGTGCAGCAGTGTCTTGTAGTTCATCACGTTTTATGTTTGCTGTCCTCATCAATGCCTGTGCCAATTATGTGAAGACACTGTAGGGAATTTTAGGAGATAGTGTGATGGGTGTTGATTGGGTTTTCTTACATGTTCTACCCATGGTGCTATGTCTTTTTTTCTTTGCTATTTTTGGTGTTGAAAAGTAGACCCAATCAAGATTTCAGTTCGGTGAAAAAAATGAAATCGAAACTATATCGATTTTGGATGATTCCAGTTCTCGTTCTGGTTGTGGTTTTGTATTGGATTCATCATTTTTTTTTTTTTATTTCAATCAATTCGAAATCAAATCAAATCGAATCGAATCTAAAGATCCCTTTGGTTCGGATTCGATTTGAAATCATAAAATTTATCGATTTTGATTCTAATTTTGATGTCTCTCAAATAATTTGATAAGGTTCTGCCGATGGATCGTCGGTGGACATTTTAAGGCCTGTCATTAATGTTTATTAGACGGCAGTCGAAGAAGATGGAGACTTGTGGTGGTTGCAGGGAGGAGGACAGGGCATGCCAGCGAACCTATGAGAGTGAAGGGAACAACATAATCGTCTCACGAGTCTTGTCCTGAGAGAAGTTGGATTGTGGTGGTGCATAAGATTGGACAGGTAAAACTATTTTGAGTTACGAACTGAACTTTACTCACCCCATCGGACCAGTAGATCTATTAGACTGGATGACGACAACTCGACTGGTCATTTGTTTTCAGTGTGGAAACCTTGTGATCTTATAAACAGCTTATTAGCATAGAATGGGTCGTCCCTTTTGTCAGACATCACGCGATTTAGAATGAGTAAAACATATGGTGATGTGGTTAGTGAGTTGCTGTCTCCATGGACATCACGCAATTTATTAGTGTCAGGCATCATCATAATCGACAAATTTTCCTTTTTATATGCCATCGTGCTCTTCCATCGTCATGCTTTTCTATTAGAACAACCAAATTGTATTTTCTTTTGCTTAACATGCTACAACGTGTGGAGGATTTCTTTATTTCCCAGTGCTGCAGATTTTTTCCATCTGTCCTACTGCAATCATGCACTGCTTATTTAGTTTGTCACAAACTAAAATAGAGGAATTTGTCCATTGTCATAGTTAATTTTGACTCAACTTTAGATTTAAAGTTTAGGTTTAAATTAAGATATGCGATATCGTATTGTACCGATGTTTCGAGGTTGGTTTACGGTACCGACATATCGAGCGGTACATCAAGACATACCGAACGATACATTAGGACTTAACAAGCTATTTCCTATTACTGTAGCACTATAGTATCAGTGTACCAATGTAGCATTGTAGCAGTCTTACAGTGCATTACTGTAGCACTATAGCACGGTCCGTTTAGTAATAAACGGTCCACGTATCGATATATCATCGGACCGATGTATACCGCCCGTACTGGGTGATACCATTCGAAATTATTCAAACCTTGATAGAACAATTTAATTTTTTAAATTAAAATTAAATCTATAACCTTCGGGATTTGGTTTGGATCAGTTTACACTGGATAAACGAATCTTAGCTTCATAGAATTGGTGATGATATAAGATTTCGATTGTCCGTCCAATGTGGGAGATCAAACATCAGAGTTCAAAATTAATTGTAATGGGTAGTATAATGAGGGTGGAGCGACATGCCATAAATCCCGGAAGACAAAGGTGTGGGCCAGCCGGACATTCATTACGTACGGTGTGGAGGCTATCGGCGCCACATGATTCCGAGCATTAAACTATTGCCCGCAAAAATGATGAACAGATGACCACCAAAAATGCTATTGTGGAGTCGATGGGAGATGTGCTCACATGTTTTAGAGCCACTCGATGTAGCTATCTTACCTATGCAATTGAGTGGGTAGCCGCAGTGGGAGGTGCTGAGTTCCACGGCCTTCCTGACGCGTGGATCAGACACATTATTCTTGTCTTTGTTGGGCGATCCAATGGACCACAATGAGGTCCGTGTGCTCGAGGAACATCACCTTTGATGTTGCATTACCGTAGCTCGGTGCCGGATCCAATCCACGAGTCGGGGACAGGACATCGCCTTTGAGCCTATTTTTGAGTTGTCCTAAGTTGTGGTATCGGCAGACTGAATGATTTGGGCTTTGGGTCGACGTGTTGGGAGAAATGCATACTAAGCTTATCCGATAATATTTAAATTATTTTAATTTAAAATTTAATTAAGTATTGAATCTATAAGATGTGAGGATCAGTCAAAACATCAGTTGACGATATATCTAAGGGCCTGTGGTGCAATAGCACGATTATTGGATCGAGGTTGTAGCTAACATTGGAAACCTCATATGTATTGTTGGATTATAAATAGGATCATCGCAGGGATATAAAGTAATGATTTATCGATTCAGTTTATTTGTTGATGCTATATGGCCGAACGCATAGAGCTAAATCGATCTCTTTATTGGTGTCATGTTGTTTATCTCGTAAGTTTTGACCTTACATGACATGGGTAAATGAAGTCTAAATATCTCTCGATGGAGATGACATGTCAGTTAAGTAGCGATCGAATAATGATGATATGTTGACAACTACTCATGTATTATATTTTCCTTATCAAAATCCATGTCATATAATACGAAGAGATTTAAATGAAAAAGAAGAAAATTTATCGGAGTCGACCCCATCAGAGAACCTTTCTATGCTTAATTTTAGTTAGGTCGGTTTGAAACTATTAGTTAGTCTGCCAAGCTATAAAAAAGCAAGTGATCTCTACCAACAAAAAAAAAGGAGAAAAGTTGCTCCGCAAAAGTGATGGACAGGCAGACTCAATTGACATCTAACATCAAATCAAACTTTCTGATATATCCACATCGTATCCTCCCCTCTCTACTAACGAGTCATCGATATAGATGAGCAGAGGATCGTGCCTTAGGGTGAAACTTTGTCTTCATTAGTATTTTTGTGCGAATGAAACTAAAGTAGATGATGCAAGTTCAAATAAGAAACGAGTATTACACATATACTTATATCTAAAAACCATGAAAGAGGAGTAAATAAAATATTCAAATTCATGGGCTGCTATGGTATCATCTTAAATGACTGAATTGGGTGATCAATTATCCAAATGAACATAATATCTACTTAGTAGCCAATACGGAATACACGATAATTGTTCGAGAGAGGATGAAGGTGGTGTTATGAGGTAAGATGGAAAACATCTTTCTTTTAGAAAGATTAAGATGGGCCGTTCCCAACTACTAATTTTGAATCACAGAGTGCCGAAAATATGTTGAAGGAGAGAGAAGACGAGTGGAAGATAGATCTTTCATGTTGATTTTGGTTTATGTCATCTTTGTGTTGCCTCGTGTGAGGTATATGTTTGCATGGGCTTCCACTCTACATGCATGAACCTATGGATATTTTCTCTCACTACACATCCATGTCCACACCACACTGATCACATTAAAATTACAGATTGTATTTAAGACGAGCAATAGCAGCTATGTATTAGATCATCCAATTTACGCCAAGCTTAAACAAAGATCACAAGTAGTACTTGGTGTGAGGATTCCACAACACTTGATCCATTATTCTCAGATAGAAATGGGTTGCTCATTCCAACAGTTTGAGGCCACCAGAGAAATGAGCCTTCAGCTTATCCATTTCGAGCTTTGGTAGCACGAAACCAATCTCCACCCCTCCCTCTTCTTCTCTGCTCTCCGCCACTGACATAGCTCCTGTCCTCACGATGGAGATGACCTCCACCTTCTTCGGCTTTCCCCAACCGAAGTCCACCTCGTAGACTCTGAGCTTGGGTGACCCCGCAACACTAAGTGCTTGCTCAGATGCGACTGATTTGTACTTCTCCGGCAACTCCGCCGCTCCTTCCAAAGGTCCATCTATGAATCCTTGTACGACTTTGCTGATGGCTATGGCTGCCGCTGCAACCCCGTCTTCTCCCGTAAGCTCGCCTGCCTTCATCTCGACGAAGCAGGCCACGAGGCAGTTCCCGAAGTACGTTGCGGGCACCGGCGGTCGCAGCCTTGCCTTGCAGTCAGCGGCAAATGCGAAGTGGGCGATCCTGTCGTCGGCGAATGCCCGTGTTTTGACCAGGCAAAACCATGCGTAAGCATAGGTCACCACGGTGGTGGAGCAGCGGAGGGAAGCGCCGCCCTCCTCGGCTTTGGCTTTGGCCGTGGAGGAAGCGAGCTCCTTCAACCTCCGGATGTGATCCCCCTTAAGAGTGAAGGAGCTGATGACTGCGCCTGGTGGGACCGCCTGGTTCATCAGCGGCTCCGTAACCGGGCGGTCGGTGGCCAGGCTCTTGAAGAAGATGGGATACAGGCCCTTCGGATCTGAAATCAAGCTCCGGTCGAGGACGGGCGGCGCCGGCCCTAGCCGTCCGGGTCGGGCACATGCAGAGGCCCAGGACGACAGGAAGCGCACGGAGCTCGAGCCGTCGCAGGCGGCGTGGTGTACTGTTACACCGACGGCGATGCCTCGGCCCGGGAACACGGTCACCTGCAACGCCAGCAGTCGCATACCTTGGTTATCGTCGTCGGGCTGCGGCAGCTGCGGAACCAAGGGAAGTAGCCTGATCAGGTCACGTGGATGGCTACCGGAGATGTCGTCGAAGTCATCATCGTGCTCCGCTAGAGTGAAGGTGACCGAGTCGCCGTCGGCGTAGTGTATTTCGTACTTGTCGACGCTGCCGGGCGAGCGGCGGATCTTGCCGGCGAGAGGGTAGAAGTGTTGGAGAGCGAGTGAGAGGGAGGACTTGAGGCTGGGGACGACGGAGTCTATGAATTGCGAGGTGGAGACGGGGAAGGCATAGAAGAAGACTCGTTCCACCGATCCAGCGTACAACCACCCTATGTCAAAGAAGGTGAGCGGCAAAGTGGACTCCGCCACTGCTCCGGGCGGTGGAGACACTCGACATATCTCGAGGACATTGAGCTCCGGTGGCGATGACATCATGGTGGCAGGCAGCCTCTGGGTGTGGTCGATGTTGCTTCTTGCTTGCCTCTCGGACACACACTTTAAATGGAGGAAAATAACATCTAAACCAAAAGAAAAATATATACAAGAGAAAGTTAGTAGTTCAGTATTTTTTTTTATTTATATAAATTATATCTCAAAAACTGAGATATATAATATATTTATAGAAAACTTAAATCCTAATTATCAATCAGAATTTTTGACATCCTTATCCATCTTATTATTTCATCTCATATCTCAACACATAAACACCATTAGATTAAGTTATATTGACATTTAAATTTTTTTATTTACTATCATTTATTTTATGCTCATACTATTATGTTTTTTGTCATTCAATCATTTATTTACTATCATTTATTTTATGCTCATAATAGAAAAATTCTGAGTGAAATATTTTTTAAAATTTTTTTAATCCTATTAATTCATATGAGATTTCGAAAAATTAATCTTTATGAACGGACGGTGACATGACATTCCAAACCTTCTCATCACATGCGACAACCGAGAAGCCACGGCAGGGCGTTAGTCGAAACAGCAGTCGAGCACATGGCCGTCCTACATCTTGCGTCACTGACTCTTCACAGATACACGTCATTGACATGGACTCGCTGCATGAGTCGTCACTCACCATTCTCTATAATTTCAGGTGAGGTGACATTTTATTGTATTTATTTCTGAGAAAAATGAATTTTGGACGTCTTTTTCTTGGCTCATAGATAAACATGGCTTTGGGTGAATCAACCAAATTGTACTTTCGAGCGTTGCTTTGTGTTTCGATGCTCTCTATGTCACAACAAAGGTAACAAACACTAGAGGTTAAGATAGTGAACTCATAAGGACAATTAATATAATATTATATTAAATAATTTATTATTTGAACATGAGACTTGTCATTTAGTACAGTAATATACTAATCAATTTAGACGTGACATAATAATTTACATCACAATAAAAAAGGACTTAAACAAAGAAAAAAAACGATTCATGTCACATCATAACGAAGGACCCAAGAAAAGTCTTAAGATGGCATTATGTATCAATCAATTGTAAATAATGTATTCTTGGATGGAGACGGCAACGAAGCATACGAGGTGTAATTAAAAGACACGGTATTCGAGATGGGAAGGTTTTATCGGGTTTTATACATCAGAAAGGGAGAGAAAATTTTGAAATGAAAAGAGAAATTTTGATCAATAAATAAAAAATACTTTTTATCTACTTACAAGGAAAAAAAATCTATAAAAAAATAAATACATGAAATATCTCTATTAAATTAACTTATACTTAAGCATAAAATTCTTGTATCACATAAACATGAAGTACTCTCCTTTTATCCCTTTTTAGATTTATCGAAGAATAAATTTTAATCCGCTATGTATTCATCTTTCTACTTAGATCCTTAATTCAAACTTATCAAGATATTTAATTTTAATTAATAATCTCTAAATTAATTATGATTTTTAAAATATTTATCAACGCATTAATAGTAGTCTTTTTTATCGGACAATTCAGGGAAAAGTCCTCTTAATGCTCTAACTTCGGCACTGGATATGGATCGAACTGTCTCACGACGTTCTGAACCCAACTCATGTACCGCTCGATCTCCTTTTCATCCATTGCACTCAAAAGTGATAAAAAATAATTATTAGTATAACTTATTCATTCTGTGAGTAAAAATTATTGTATAAAATTTTCATCAGAATAATTATTTTGAGATGAAAAAATAATCCTATGACTAAACACAAAAAAAAAAAAAGAGGATAAGACCAAAAGTTTATCTCGTCAGCCTTACAAAACACAAAAAAGTTTACCTGCACAGGTCGTATGCTTGTTAGATGGTTTAAGATGCATATGCTTTGTAACTACGTATTCTAAGGTATTACCGTTTCTTCGATCGCCATGAGCAGTTCCATACCAGGTGGCTCCCGCCGACGACCGGCCCTCGATAGCAGAAGAGGAGAAGTTTGATCGCTTGGGGTTGAAGCGATTGCAAGGGCTGAAGAGGGAAGACAAAGCAAGCAAAGCAATGAAGGTGTGTGCATGCGCTTAGAGTAAGTCGATGGCGAGGCCGAGAGGGGCGTCCGGATCTTGGGTGGAGGATAGGCTGTCAAGATTCAAAGTATATCTGATAGAAGATTCTAGATTCTAGATTATTTATTATTTTATTTTATTTTTTAAAATAAAATTGATTAGATAATAAAATGTTTCTTGATTTAAATTATTATTTTATATCTATAAATAGATGATATTTATATGTATAGATCCATTCAAATCTATGTATCTAGGCACATACGGTTCAAAGTTCAAAACTAGTTCAAAAATCTTGATTTTTATTTTTGAAAATTTTAATATAACTTTTTCTCTATTTTCGTTTTGATTTTTTCCTCTTTTATTTGGTTTGATCTTAAGCTAATAATACATTATTGCTATTATTTGAGAAATGATTGCTCTTGTACGTGATCTTTTCTCTTCTTCACATGGTATCAAAGCCACAAAGATGATAAATTGTATTTCAAGATCTTCTTAGTGAATAAGATAATATATTTTTATTATAAATTATAATAGACAAGTTGGTAGATTTAGTATTAAACTTTTCAATAGAGATTTTAAAGCTGCGTGGTGATCTTTTTCTCCGATTTGAAATGAAAGTTTTAGGAGAGATTAATATTTTTCTTAGTTTAATATAAATAAAATTATTTAAAAGTTTGAAAGTAACAAAAGAAGGCTCTATTTTACTTAGGTACAAATATAAAGCTAAGTTATAACAGTGATAAAGTTCATGTTTTTCTTAGTAGTCATGTCTATTTAACAATTATAAGATCAGATATTATATTTTTTAATTGGTCTTGTAAGTCATTTTATGTAATCTATAAAGAAGTTGCATCTTCTCGTAGAAAAAATAATTTTAAAATATATAAATTCTATTCTTGATTTGGGATTATTTAATAAGAAGGACATATATAAAGATGCTGATACGAGAGATGATTTGAATAATCATAGATCCATTTCTTGTTATGCCTTTTTATATGATTTTGTTTGTATCTCATAGTATAGTAAGAAACAGTCATCAATCTTTTTTTCCTATAATCAAAGTAAAATACAAGGCTTCCTCACTTGTTGTTTAAGAATATATATGGTTAAGGCATTTGGTCGATAACGTTTAGTATCAAATTAACAAATCAACTATTTTGTAGTGTGATAAATAATGTATCTTAAAATTGATTGTAAATCCAATTTATCATGAAAGAACCAAGCATATTAAAATTAAATATTATTTTATTCAAAAAATTATACTTCAAAGATCCATGAGGTCACGCAGATTAAGAGCAGATTTAACGTTATGGATATCTTTATCGAAGCTCCCTCCAAATGATCATTTAAAGATCTTCCAAATAAGTTAGGACTTATCTTCAGAATTATATTTTAATGCATAATAATATTTAAAGTATATATTTTAAAAGATTTTAGATTATTATCTTTTATCTTATTCTTTAATAAGTTGATTATATAAAATTTTAGAAATAACAATTTCTTAATTTAAAATTATTATTTTATATTTATAAATAGATATCATTTATATATGTACATCCATCCAAGTCTAAGTGTTTAGATTAGATTTACAGGACACAAATCTAAGCGATTTTTTTAAAAAAAATTCGCTTTAACTTTTTTTTTTTAATTTTTGTCTTGATTTTTTCTATTTAATTTGATTTTTTGACTAATAGTATTTTTTTTATTTATTATTATTATTATTATTCGAGAAAGGATTATAGTTGCATGTCATACATCCCTTTCTTCACATAGAGAGTGACGGGTGAGCGCCGTGGAGGGGCCATAGCATCCCTTTCTACCAATGTCTTGGTTTGCAGTTTGGCGTCAACTCGGCTTGTGATGTCACTTACGGTGGCTTTCATCAAATAAACAATCAATTATGCTGTTAAAAATAGTGCAAAATGTGATACTAAATGGACCGTAACGACCCCACTGCTGTCCTATGCATCATTGAATAGACCGTAACGGACCCACTGCTGTCCTAAACTAAACTCTAAACGGACCGCATCAAGCAATCGTTATACAGTCTCTACGATCACATCCATCTTTTATTGGCATCGCACCGCAGTGACCATTCCGTGAAGCTCTCGTCACAAAATATCTTGATTGGGAAAGGATCAACCCAGGAGAAGCGAGTCCCAAATGCAATGCCCTCATTCTTGGGCAACACAAATCCGATCTTCTCCCACCGGGCTCTCTGCCCCGGTGGTCCTGATGGAGGTCATCTCTAACTTCTCTGGCCTCCCCCACCCGAAATCAACCCCGTACACCTTCAACTTTGGCGATCCTGCCACGCTCACGGCTCGATTCGCCAGCACATACGACATTTTCTCCAACCACCTCCCCGCGCCGTCGAACAACCCCTCTTTGAGCCGCACGATGGTCCTCCCGGTGGCCTCACAGGCCGCCAGGAACCCGTCGTCGTCTCCTCCGGCGGTATCGCCCGACCCCACCTCCACGTAGCACGAACCGACGCAGCTCCCAAAGTACCCCGCCGGTAGCGGAAGACTCAGCCGTCCCCTGCAGTCGACGGCGAATGCCAAGTGCGCAGTCTTGTCACGGTCAACGCCCTGCGCTGGGACCAGGCACGGCCACACGTAGGCGTACGAGACGACGATCGTGGAGCAATGGAACGACTCGGTCTTGCCTTCCTCGATCTGGGCCACCACCAGTTGCTTTAGACTTTTGATCTGGTCTCGGCCGAGGACGAAGGAGATGCAGATCCATGGCCACGACCGGCCTGGCGTCGGTCTCGAGCTTCCCAGCTTGGGAACCAAGAACAGGAGCCTCGCCATGTCGCGCCCGTGGCCGCCGCAGAGGTCGTACAAGCCGGCGCCGTCTTACTCCGCCACGGCGTAGGGGACCGAGTCGCCGTTGAGGTACCGCCGCCGCCCTTCATCGATAGAAGACGTACCAATCAATTCTACTGTCTCAACAACCGAGTTTTATATATCATCACTACATCACATCGATTTCCACGAAAGTATCAATGCGTTACCTGTTGCAGGCTGCAACATTTGAAGCTCACCAACATTTGTCGCCTATTAAAACGTGGCAGTGCTTTGAACCGCACATCACACCGCGAGGCAACTCACTGTTGCCAATAACACAATAAATCCAAGCCGCACGTTCGTTGGACCACTCAATGTCAACCGTCTGATAAACCTTGCGCAAGAGCACCACGGGATCGCTAATTGCATCATCCGTAGATCATATGATCTGACGGCTACGGACTCTCGCTTTCAGAGCAGAACTGATACGCTGAATCGGACGGCCAGGATGGGCGATCCCAGTGGTCAGCGTAATGAAATAAGAATTATGTGGAAATACCTAAATGAAGACAATTAGGCGATCCGTTTTAAGTGGGTGAGTGAAAGGGCGGATTGGGTCGTTCTTCCTTTCCCCCAGTCAGCTTCCGATCCCTTGTGGAGTCTCCAAGAATCGTCGGATCGGAGCGAGAGCGACCGAGCGGGTGACGGATCTCTCGCTCTCCTGAGTCGGAGATCTTCTTCTTGCTTCGCGACGTAGATGGGGTTCGTGTCCTTCTTTGGGAGGGTTCTCTTCGCCTCCGTCTTCCTTCTCTCCGCCTACCAGGAGTAAGCTCTTCGCTCCATCTGCTGTCCCGCCTCTTTCTCTTGCTAGTTGGTCTTTTTTCTTGGATCGTCTGATTTTTATGTTTCGATTCTCTGATCGGATTTGTTGTTTACTTTCTGGGCTTGAATTAGGGTTTAGGGCACTCTTCTCGTACGGAATGGTGGATTTGGTTTGTTCTTCTTAGATTTATCGGGTTTACGTGCTTTGATGAGCTCATATTGTACCCGGAGCTGGAATTTTTGTAGTTTTGTTCGCGTAGGTGGCAGTGCTTCGATCTCGTGATTGCTAATGTTTCTCATCTGTTTACGTTTGGTATGCTGAAGCTGATAAAGAAGGTTGGTTCTTTTTAATCACTGTTGAACCCTTGTGTGGGATTTTAATCGGTTTAGATTTAAAAATGCCTTCTCCCTTCCCTAGAGATTTCTGCTGATTAATGGTCTCTATTGGCATGATTTGTCCAGTTTTATTTATTCCTTTGGTTGAAAGTTTAAATCTTGATTATTATTTTTTTAATTTGTCGTTGAAGGTGATGTATTATAGCCATTTTCGAATTACTTAATTTAACGTTAATTACCTGGAAAAGAAAAATGATTACTTATGAGTTTGCAATCTTGATTAGTGAGCATGTTCAAGGGCATAATGGTAATCAGGAGTATTTAAGCTGAATGGTTTTCCTTAATATTTATGGTAGTTTAAATGAGAAAGAAGTTACTCTAAATACGGTCCCGCATAGGAAGAAATTTCAAGAAGAGTAAAGGCGAAGGAAAGAATCAACCTACCCTAAAAATAAATTCTCTTGATGATGATGCATGCCCGTGGTTGAAGTGTATCTTTGTTTCTGGTGGTTATTTTGCTATAATGCTTTTATTTGTATTCAGTGGTCTGATATCTGATTCTTTTATGATATTTGGTATCTTGTTCCTACAATAATCGAGAAATATGTATTATATGTATTTTTTATTTGCATTTTCGGGTTAAATTCTTGTTTTTTGGTGGATGTACTCGTATACAATGACAACAAAGTCATAGTCCCAACTATCTAGGGTAGGCTACGTGGATCCTTTGCACCTATTGATGAATGTAAGGATGTACTGGAATGTTTACTGTATCAAAATTTCATATCCAAAATCATCCCCTAAAAAAGGATTATCATTGCTGAGATGATGAATTCATCAACTCAAATTGTTGGTTAAATTTACAATCAAATTTTGATTTTTTTTTCTTATATGAGGCTAGCAGATGAATACTACTTTCATGTAATATATTTGATTTAGATTGTTATCTATGTTCCACACAGCAGTTGCCGCGTACTAATTTCATTAATGCGCGTGCACTAGAAACATTATTGGTACATCAAGCTTGTCTGGAAAAGGATTAAGGCATGACATGCCATTCCTATTTAAAAACCTTTGCAGAAAGGAAGGTTTTCTGATTAATATAAGCAGCAAGCAGTGTCACTTTAAAACTGGTCTCCTAAGAGGCAGAGAGATTGAGAGGGATAATCTGACACCTACCACGAGAAGCGCATGATATATGAAATTTAACATGAGTTGTATGTAGATATATCATCTAGCAGTGCAGTTATACATGTGTATGATGTTTGTTAATATGTTTATATATATGTATGTACACTTACACTTCTGTATTCGTGTATACGTGCACATATTTACCACATTATCTGTTTTTCTCACCATTGTTGATCATTAGTATTCCTCTGCTGAATAGTTTTGCCTCAAGTAATACTGTATCTAATTTTCTGACATCTTGAATATGCATCGCATATGTCCTGATGCTTTCTACTGATATATAATTTCCCTACAGGTTTAGTGAATTTGGAGTTAATGGTGGACCAGCAGCAAAGGCTCTCAAGCCAAAATTCAACCTTTTCATGAAACATACTGCTTCACGTATTGGCATTGCAGTTCCGCATGTTGAAGTAGAAAGCAATCTTTTCTTTTCTTTTGGTTCTTATTTACTTTCAAATAAACATCATATGTCAAAAATATTGCTTGAAACAATCACTTCTTTTTTTTCTCAGATGAGACATGTTATTGCTAGTACAATTTTTCTGAAAGGTTTTGGTGGCCTACTGTTTATCTTCAGCAGCTCTTTTGGAGCATATCTACTGGTAATTGTGTTTTCTTGAATATAACATCGCCGCATGTTTTATATGAGTGTTTTGGCTGGCCTACTGATTATCTTAAGCAACTTTTTTCTTTTGTGTGCTTAAAATTATGTGTGCTTAAACATATCCATTGTCACATGTTTTATCTGAAAATGAAGCATTTTGCTCATGGACTTCTGGGCTGAAATGCATAAATTTTTTGCCAGTGAATTCAACCAAGCCTTGAGTTTTAGTATCTATCCAATGAGTTTTTTACAGTGGAACCCGAATCTGGCCATAACCATTCAAAATATATTGAACTTTACAGCTATTTTGAACTTTGCTGCAGGTCTCAATGCTTTGGTTTCTTCTTGAATCTCTCCTGGTTTTGTTTTTCATATTTACTTAATTGCCAGTTGATGGATAAGTGTAGTTGAGTAACCGCTGAAGAGTTGTTACCCATTTTGCCTCTGTTTGCTTTGCTCAACTCATGCAGCATTGATCTTGATTAAAATTGCCGAGATATCAATACTTATGGTTGTCGGCTTCTTCATGATCATGATTCTTAATCATGATCATGATTCTTAATCAGAACCTTGTGTCATCACTTTCTAACATTTTAGCAGTAATTGTAAATTTGCTGCGTGGTGTTCCTTGATAGTTGATGTTTCCTATTATTTTCATTTTGGTAGTAGCAATTGAATTTGTTCCATGACCATTTGTAAAAGTTGTAACATTTATCCATGTGCAGCTTGTTTACCTAGCTTTCATTACCCCAATTGTGTATGACTTCTACAACTATGATATTGAGAAGGCAGAATTTGTGCAGCTATTCAGCAAGTTTAATCAGGTTTTTCTTGCATATCCTGCATAATTTCTTTTCACACATCTTCGTTGTTATGGAGCAAGATTTTGTATGATTGGTTGTGGTACTGATTATTTCTAATTTGTATCAGAATTTGGCTCTCTTTGGTGCACTGCTCTTTTTCTTGGGCATGAAGAACTCCATTCCAAAGCGGCAGAAAAAGAAGGTTACCAAGACAAAAACCAATTGAATGTTCTCATGGTCCTTCCACTGCTAGTTGGCAGGAATCAGGTAGTTGTCTTGGTTTGGACCTCACCGGAGAGTACCACAGTCATGTCACGTCCCCCTGTTATGGAGACATCAGATTACCCCCACAGAGTTATGTTTCTATTGTATCAAGATATACTTGAGCAGCATGGGTCGACTAACTATAGTTCTATTTTCCCCGGTTCAAATTGTTTGCTTAGTTTGTTTTGCAGTTTATATATCTGTGACAATTGCGGTATTGCATTTGGATATGATAATGGTGAATTTTACTTGAATCTGATGGTTCTTTCTGCACTAGGCAATATCCTGGATCAAAATGTGCATGAATATCCATGTAACCTAGTTATGAACTTGTATATCTGAACTTGTTTGCCATTTTCTTTTCTTATTGTCCGATATATATCCCAAGATATGATACGTTGATGTCTTATTTTCAAGGTGTTAGAGATGTTTGGCATTGGACCTGCAAGATGTCTTATTTTCAACTGAAGCCAATGAGTTCCAGAATCATACTACAGAGAGTTCTACTTGGCTGAGGAAGACTACGCAGTGAAGCAGCTAAAAGCCACGGCCGGCCAAATGTGATTCCTTGGTATAATACAAATATTAAAAAATTGGCATATTGGATTTAGCATATAATATATATATATATATATATATATATATATATATATATATATATATATATATATATATA